AACATTATAGAAAGCTCCAGCTGGCTCCAGACGATTGCTGCCTAAAACATGTGGTCCGTGACCAGCTGTCAACAGTTTACTCATTTGCCTGCATGACTGATTATTTTAACTGATGTAATTCAATGATGTGTAAGTCACTGTCAGGAAAACTATCTCAGATAGATGCAATAATGCACAGACAGGCAGCACAGCACAAAAATGTGTCATAAAAGTAAACAGCAATAGCGAGAGAGAAGGAAATTGATTGCTGGAATTGATAGCTAGAGACAAATACATTATCATTAGTAGTCTCCTAGCAGAGCATAATTCATTTTGAAGATATGATGCAAAAGGAAATGCACTTCTGTGAATGCTGTATTACTCATAATAAGAGTGACCTCTATGCTCTTCTGCATCTGTCATCATCTGTAGTTATTTCCCCATCTTTTCTCTTTACCCAAGACAAAATGCGAATGATGTCAGTAAGTGGTTTATAGTATAGTATGCATGCCTTATATTTACACAACGAGACTGTGTAAACATACACACTTCCTCTCTTTGACAGATTAGGATGTAAGCCCTCATGAAGCTCTGAGACCTGTGCTTTACTATGACTCACAGAGCAGAGAGTCCCAGCTGGTTACCTTTTTGGTTTTGGTTTTTAATCATTTTTTGTTGCAGAAGCTACAGTAAGACCGTGTTGTAAGAGTTCAACTGGTACTTTAAAGCTGGATCTGTGAATGTGTGTGGATGCAGGTGCATGCAGGCCTCTGGGACCTTAAATTGCTCCATCGCAGATGTGTTTTCTCTAATGTGGGACAGTGGGGAGTTGCCTGGACAAACCTGTCCATATGAGGCAATGGAAAGCCTGAGCGTTTGCATTATTTTTACAGTATTACTCATCCCAACTACTGAGGCTCGAAGGATACAGAAGACCAAGAACATGTGAAATCTTATCTTAATCAGACAATAGTGGATCACGTATCAGTTGTGTGGGAATTTGTAAACCATCGATTTTGAGATGTTTCACTGAATAATTAAACTCTGTCCTGCTGCTGATGCTAGAGGAAAAGTAACAGATTCGTAACATTCATAATGATTCATCCTCAAGGGACCATTAATGTTTGTGCAATGGTGATCCATCCAGTAGTTTTTGAGATATTTCTTTTTTTGGAGAAAAGTGATGGGACGACCAACATTGCCACACATCATTTGTGATAACAGCCTTAACTTTCAAGAAACCAGTAGTCTGTCTTCAAGTGTAACCTCTTCAGGAACAAAGTGATACAGGATTCTTGCAAGCTTGATAACTGCGCACTCTCCACTTTACCCACTTGGATTTAAAGAGTTTTTTCTGACCTCCATGACCCATAGAAAAATAACCTTAGATAGAATTATGAGATTTTTACAGACAGCAATATCACAAGGGTTATCCTGGGGGCTAGTTGTTTACATTGAAGATGGTGTGTGCGTGTGTGTGCATGCGTTCCAAGTATTATGGCCTCTGCCTCACCCTTATAGACTCAGATCCAGTCTAAATGATGGATATCAAAGAACATCAACATTGATTTCTTTCCGCTCTGAAAAAGACCCTATTTCATCATCTCGTGGTGCATTGAAAACAGTCTGGCTCAGTTTCATAAAGGCCTTTGCTTCTCTATCTTGTTTTTGTCTATTTATTTCTTGAAAACTTGTCTTCATTTTTATCTCTTTATCTCCCACCGTAACTCTTTTGTTTTATTTTTTTTTTCCTGGGTACGCATATTCTGCTCCATTCACACACATCTGCACCTTGTACACATTACATTTTCTACTGCATCAAGGCAAACCCGTCTTGACGTTGCTACCATTAATGCAGGCTTTAAATGCCTTTTTACCCTGCATTAGCATCACTAACACTGACAAGGTTTAACCACCAAACACTCACACAGACACAAGACCCTACAACAGCAGCATCCCCATTTTCAACAGGATGTTGAGTGACATTGAAAGAGACAGATAGTCCAAGGGCTAGCAACACAGCATGGCATGCAATAGCCCATGCAGCCAGGAAACAGCCAAATAAACTAGCATCATGATTCACCACTGACCAGGGCAGTGAGCGTCAAGAAAAGCCCTGAGGACTCCAGTCAATCTCTGAGGACTTGAACAAAATGGAAAAAATCCTATTTATAGCCTGACTCGTGCCCAAAAATGTCAGGATACAAATGTTTTTCCCTGATATGCCGGAAGCAGAGCAGCCGAGGTAAATGGAAATGATCAAATTGGAAAGAGGGGGAACAGAAAAACATGTACTTGAGCACAAAAGGTTCTTTTCATTTCATACTTAAATCAGAAAAGTGAGTATTAATAAAAAGATACACCAGCAACGGTGGATGAGAGTGTTTTAGTGCACAGATAACTGAGCAGTGATTCGGTAGTTGGTACCCTGAGAGCCATATCCTGTATTTTGTGCTTCAGTAGATAATGCAATAAGGTGATCCCATAATTTGGTCCATAGCCATGAACTGTAGTATCAGAAATGAGCTGTATAAGTGTGCACTGAATTACATGAGTCTATATGTCTAAGGGGGTTTCCATGAGGAGGCGTGTTCTACATTTATACGCAAATTCACAAAAGAATTGTGTGGCTTTTGCCACCAGTAAACCTGCACTACACTACACTGCCAAGCAAATACTGTCTCAGTGCTCATGTGCTATTTGCATATATTCAAATTAATCAATAAGCATACAGTTGGTGCAAAATTGGCCCCTCGCAAAGGCTGTCCAAAAACATCAGCGCTAACAGCCACATGCAGTTTCAGTAAAATTGTCAGTGTGTTAGAAAGTTGGTAGCAACTGAAGCGCATTTATAAAGGGTGTCACAGCCAGCACTGACACGAATGAAGTTTCTCTCTGTCAAGTTTAAATTCCTTGCCAGAAGTTTTGAGGCATGCCTCTGCATCTCATCAGTCAGGACCTGTAGCATGGGGTCTGAAAATTGAAATTTTCTTTTTCTCTGAGCCATTGTTCTGCCCACTGTGTTCCTGCTGCAAAGGCAGCATTTATAGTTTGCAATCAGATGCAAAACAGGGAAGATTACACTCAGCTGCATAACTTTATTTGCATGTTTGTGCTGCAGTATCGTTAGCGCAATATCTTTTGTGAATTGGACCTTGAAACAGGGCAAATAGCAGTTGATAGATGGCACCAAGTGATGCCCAGTTCATGGTCCTATCATTGACCATAATCCAGTTGTGGTGAATTCACCTGTCATTATTTCCATGGAAGTCTAACATCTTGCTGCTTGTTGGTGTTGTAAAAAGTATGTGAGGTTATGGAGAAGTCTATGGAACTTAATTAGAAATTGTTTATTCTTAAAGTTCCCCTCCAATGAAAGTGCAATTTTTAACCTTGTTAAGGTGTTTATGGTGTTTTTTGGAAAGCTTCAAGACATGTCATAAGCAGAATAAGAAAGTCAACACCATGGCTGAGTATTTCCGCCTTGAAACTGCACTGCACAGTGACAGTCTCAAAAGCACATTCACACAGCCAGGGTTTCATATGTCCAATAGAAACCAATCCTATCAACTTGCAGGGTGAGGCCAGACGTGCCTCTGATCGGTATTTTGCAAGTTAAGTTTCACTTTGACTTCAACAAGTCAGAGCTGGCAGTTGAGAACACGGTTTATCTAACATGAGCAACACATGATCAACTTGATAATGTAGTCAAGCCTAAAGGCTCATGTTATCTATCACTGTAACGTTTCTAACCTAGAGAGGGACGAGTAGAGTCGAAGGTGAGCAGGCACACTTAAGCTGCAGGCGAGCGGCTGGTGGAGATAGAGGTTGGGGCTCATTTGCATATTCATATATCTGTGCATACCAAATTGAGGCAAAGGCGTGGAGTTACATTTAAGCCATTTTAAGGCATGAAGGGATTTTTGTTGGTGTAAAAATTTCCAAATATTTCATTCTGTTGAACAGGGATGTGTTTTTAGGGCTTTAATCAATGCCAGGAGAGGAACTTTTTCAAGTTGCAGCCCAGACACAGCTCCAGACACTAACTCGCACAATATCTTCATCTGCTAGACATTACACTCCTATTATGTCTCCTCCCTAAACGTCTTAAGAGGTCTTCTCAGAAGCCATATTTGGATTTGGAGCAAAAATCAACATAAATGAGTTTCATGTATTTTTATTAAAAATCCATGAGATCTGTCTTTTGTCAAAGTGCATTGCTGGGATCATGACCAGAAAACAAATGGGGCCATTAAACTATTACAGATTTAATCTGGACATCTGTGAGATCAAACACAGATTCTGGATGTCCTGAGGCATCAGCCGAGGGATATTTACGTCCTTTCAGAGTGAAAAGCTATTTGACCATTTTCTGCCAACTCTAACTTTAACCACTGCTTGTTAAATATTTATTCTCATGTATTTCCCAGCAGGAGCGTATTGATTTGTACCCATTTAGGAGTGCCAATGGTCACGTACTCAATTTGTCAGCATATCAAATTCTGCCTGAAGTGGATGCTAGCCATTATCTAATTTCACTAATGCTAGCGTTTTTGCCACCCAGAGGGCTGTGCCACTTTGCAGTCTGTGGTGTCATGAAAACAAAGTTCAGATGACGACTGACAGTGCGAAAAGAAAACATGAACATGCTGGTCCATACACACAGTAGTACAACACCTCTGATACTGTACTTCTGATGGAATAAGCTCTTTTGTTAGTCACTGTCCTTTTTTAAAGCACTCGCTGCTCTCTCATCATCTCTCACACACGCGCAACTAGCTCAAATTTTAAGGTTAAAGAGGTTCTCATTCATTCTTTTACATTCATACTTTCTAGTGCAATTCTCTCATTTGCTCTCTCGTGCTGTCCCCATCTTGAATCCTTTCACCATCCACGGATCAGGAGACACTTCTTCTTCTTTGCTCCTCTGAAAGTAGATGCCTAATTGCCTGCTGTCTTTTCCTCCACCCCTCTTGCTTCTCTCCCTCTCCCTCTCTCCCTCTCCCTCTCGGTGTCTCTAGAAGTGTGACTGCCTGCTCAGCCTGGAAGCCTATTCAGCAGACCAGAAGCGCCGTGTGTGTCAGTGCCTGAAGGACAACATTGACAAGCAGCTCCAGCTTCACAGGAGGGAACCTTCCTTTCCGCATTTTGAACAGGTAGGCCACAAGGATGCGCACATACTAGGAGCGTTTACAATTTCATTTGAGGCCAGAGATGAATCAGGAAACACATGAACACATGGGAATGCATATATTTGTGCATGCCCCCATCACAGATACCTCATGAACACCACACACTTCCAAGCAGACTCTCAGTCAGTTGCATGTAATGCTTTCCTGCAGCTCACATTCCCATCATTATGATTTTCCACTTAGCTCTTGCATTTCTTTGGGCAAGTATAAAGCTGCCTTTTATCTGGCTGGATTTGAAGAGTTACACCGCTTTAGTGGAGTGTTAACTCTGGGCAATTTAAGCCCTGCTCAGCTGTGTTGAGTTATGCCAAAAGAATTATTTGGTAAAGCAGGTTTCTGTTACTGCACTTCATATTTATCAACTGAACTTTGCCTTGAGAATCATATTTGTTGTGACCATTTGAAATGCTAACCACAGTAGACTTGACTGCATCCTGAGCACTGTGACTACCGAGTGTTGTCTCAGTGTGCCGGTTGACCTGCGACAGGAGTGATATATGAAAACTACATATTAAGAAAAAAAATATTCAGTGTGATTTGTATTTGTAAAGCCAGCTGCTCTGTTTTGTCTTTTCTCTGACATATTTGTGTTTAGCATCCATTTTGCAGTAGAAGTTACTGAGTAGTTGTTAGCTGTGGCTGCAGTTTTCCTTGAAAATAAATGTGCTAACATGTTAGCAAATACTAGCTTATTTACATACCCAGCAGATATGAAGTGACGTTCTTTTGGAGTCATGTTTCTGTTCAGCTGATAAATGTAAACCCAATATTCACTCTCCTTGTAGCGCTGTCTTTGGTTTACACCATCTCCTGAGTGGAATGTCCATTTTTAACTAACTTTCTCTAGCTAACTGCTGTCCAGATCCTTTGGAGATTTTTTTTTTTTTTTGGAAACTAACACAGTTGCCCTCATTTGCTAATCTAACATATGAACAGGTTCAGTTTCGAGCACAGAAATCATCAAACAGTAGGGTTCGTGTGTAATTTATTTAATGTTCTTACCTTGCCAATCAAGGCGTAGGACTGACTGAGTCTTGATAAATGTGGCTGCTGGAAACAACCGTCATGTAAATATCCTGCTCGAATATATTCTCAGTTTAGAGGCCTTGCCCCATAGAGTTTAGGACATGGAGAGGCGTAAAATGGCCAGGAAGAGAAACTTCTCTGAGCTAGAAATGGAAACACTGACGTCCCAAGTCCAATTTAACTAATCGGTTCTATTTGGCAGCCTGAGAAGTGGCATCAGAGGAAGTCGGGATAACACAGTATGGAAAGAAAACACTGCTGCGGTTACCAGCGTTGTGGTGAAAAATTGTACTCCAGCTGAGGTTGGAAAATTACATTTTTACTTCCATGATATGTACCAACCTATAGCCTACATATATTAATAATGTGAGCCTATATATTCAATATATAATATTGATATTTTTGTAAAATCCATATAAAAGCTTATTATTGATGCAGTCTAAAAGTTTATTATTGACCCATTTCAGGCATAACAGGTGGCGAAGGCAACACAGACACACCACCTGCGTTCAAGCCGCCTAAGCTACCATAGTATGTAAATAATTACACTGTTGCAGGGTTTATTTTTTAGTCACGTTTTAATGTTAAATCATATAAGCACACAGTGGCGTGCCAGAGCATGGGTTGTGTTTGGTAGGCCTTTACAAAATCTATTTTTATATTAGACTCTTCATTTTTAAGTGATTAGTATGTGGCTGCAAATACGTTGATGCCAGTCAGAATATGGTCCGATAAAAATTCTCCAACAGCCAGATTTACTATGCTGCACCACAAGTCCAGGCTGACTCAAACTTGCATGCAGGAGTCATAGCCTTTGCTCACATCGATAGTGATAAATGCTGAGGTTTGCGTACAAATGAGCTTATGCTCAGTTTTCTGTGGTATGTTCATTTCATGAATATTGGCCCGTAGGAGTGAACTGAAACAGTGCGGGGGCCAGAAAATCAAAACAGTGAGCCAAAAGATGCTAAACGCTCTATAGAGCTGAGGGAAACTGCAGAGTTGGGTGATAATTCTTTGTTGTTGTTTTTTCATAACCACGAGCAACCCCTTTCACATTACACAAAAGTACTTCTGACTTTTCACAATTGTAGACCTGTTTATAGACCTGTTTTGGAAGCATTGAAATTAAAGTGAGTTTAACTGAAACCTTTCATTTGCAGAATGTAAAGATTTATCAATCTTCCCTGAACAAAATCTAATCCAGATACCACCGTTGGATTAAGTCATTACCCCTACCTGTATAGCACAATGGTGCCGCAGGGTGCTGTTAAGCATGCATCGTAACTGATCTTTGAATGCTTACTGGGCTCACTCGAATGCCCTCACATTCAGAAGGTGGATTACTGTGGCCCAACATGGTCATTTCAAGTGTGACTTAGAGAAATATACTCAAAACCTTGGACCAAATAGATACATTCATGTGGCACAGTATTCAGAGGTCTAAAGGCGTAGTGTAGAGGTGTCTTCAATCTGCATTTCGTTGTACAGATTTAAGCTTTTTTTTTTTTCCTAATTTCCTTACTTCTTTCATTTTTGATGAACAGCACAGACAGTCTGTTCACGTCATCCGTTTCACAAGCGATCCTACCCAGTTCATTGAGTTTATCTGAAAAGGTGATTAAAAGGGATAAATAGCCCTGTGTATAGATGTCACACCTGTTGTACATTACGGGTTCATTTCATCAACACATGAAAGAGAGAGGAGCAGGCCGACAGTGTTTCATCCTTTTCTCTCTCTGCATGTGTGTGCATTCATGTGTTTCCGTGTATATGTGTGTGTGTATTTTTGAACATATGGTACCTCTGAAAAGAGTCACGATGAGCCCTGATTGCCCAGATGTGTAAATGACCTCAGAACTAGGCAGTATTTGAATATTCTCCAATATTTTAACCACTTTACAGTGAACTTTATGAACTTTGCAAGAATCCAACAGATTTAAACATTGAAACTGTTTCAGTGATAAGATACCTGAGCTTCCAAACAACATTCAGTCGCTACAGTGTTTTCCTGCAGGAATGTGTGCCTCATAGTGTAGTTTTTCACAGCAACACAATGGGCATTGTGCGTGTCCCTTTCCTCCCATGATCAGTGTCAATTAGGTGCACCCAGCTGAATGAATGAAAACATTTACACACACTGCAGTGTTCAATACATTCAATAGCAAAAACAGGCTAGTAAGCATGCTTAGTCACGTTAAGTCAGTGTCATTTACCCAAACTGTATTGATCAAACTAGTGTATTGATCATTACAGACACAAAGAAACTGCCTTCATTGATTTCTTTTTCCAATTTTCATTAGTGTTTAAGTCGTATAATTATCCTTGTAGGATATTTTCCTAAATTGCATGAGCTTTTTGTAGCAGGTTAATCATTATGCTTAACAGCTAAATACCTCACCACCTAAATGACCATATGGATATCAGTTACTCACACCTTGTTACGTTGAAGTTATGAAGACAACTTTTTTGCCCAGCAAGGTAAAGTTACTGTTTTTGTCAATGGAAACTTGCTTTGAAGGGAGCATAGGTTAGGGGTTCATCCCAATACCTGACCTCGCATCCATGTTTCTCCTCGCTTGCGTCTCAACCTTGCATCTTAGCTCCACCCTCGTGAGACACAGGGGAGAGATGCGAGGATGAGATGCGGGGAGAGAAGAAACAAGGACATATGCCTTTAAAGAAATCAGACACCGATGGATTAGCTATCACTAGGCTTTACTAGACATTGCAGGCTTTATTAACAGCTATAGAAACTTTTAATGGACTTTGTGTCTGCACACACATAATGTGTGTGTGTGTATATATATATATATATATATATATATATATATGATAAAGATACCGTCATCAATAGCAGAGCAGCAGTGTTTTGTCTCTGTTAACAAACACTTGCACATGAAAAACAACCTGCGTTCTGTATCTTACTGTTTCCTGTTCAGAGTCACGGAAAGCCTTTATATTTTTTATTCATTATTTGCGTCTATATTTATAGATATTATGTTTGTTAATTAATTATTTAATAACCCAGAATATAATTATGATGTCTTTCGAACACTGGAAATAATTTATTAGGCCAATTGTTTCAAGGAAAATTGAAATTCTGTAACTCATCAACCAGATGCTCAGGAGCGATCAGCCTTGCATGTGACTGAATGGAAACGACGATCAGTGATGTAAGAAGTGTTTCTTGCTGACAGACAGACTTTGATTGTATCCATAATAAAAGTTGATGATGAAAGTAACAAATGGTGAAGAGAAACATCTTTCTAACAAAAGAAGAAAATAGTTTGTGCTCCTTTTCTTGTTCAGATTTTTATCTACACGATGGCAAATCAGTACACAAATGAAGTATAAAACTTGGGAGTGATACATAGTTTATTCTCATATCTGTCCTCATTCTGGTATGAAACTCCAGTCATGTTGGGATATATCAGATCAGTCTGATCAGCTGCAGCGCTGCACCGTCCAATCAAAAACTGATATTCAATCAGGGTGGTGTGTCGGTTGGTAAAAGACTTCCGCAACAGCTGCAGTTGTGTATCCTCGCTTCCTTCTCCTCTGACAGTCTCCTCTCTCCTCAACTCCTCTAAGCGCATTTAACGAATTGAGATGTCCTTCAAGATGACCGGTATGAATCGATTTCTGGGTCAAGTGATGGAGGATAGAGGATAGAGGAGTCAAGAAGGGATATTGAGATGAACCCTAGGTTTTACTTTCTAAACACAGACCCCTACGACTTCAATTTATCAAGAATTTTCTAAATTTTTGTATTCTTTATTCACTGGAAGAAGAAACTGTGTTTTCTTAACAAATGGTTATTTGGGGGCTAAAGTATTCCTTTAAAACTTCAGTTATCTTCTTTCATAAGAAAGCAAAATGAACCTTTAAGTGAGGGCAATAGAAGGAGGTACCTGCCTGCCTGCTTTCCTCCATGC